TATACACACAGTATATATTGTATTTAGTAATTTATTAATTTAAATAATTTGTCATCCTCCGGCCCCCATGAAGTTTGTTGAGGCCCCTTAGGCCCCTTAGACATAAGTATTTAGTGGGTTGAAAACCATATGGTACCACAACCATTTTGTATCACTAGTGTTTATGACAATTTCAACAAAATGAGAAAGGAAATTTTCTGAGTACAATTTTCATACTCAGATAGATATGGCCATAATGTAGGCTAAGTAACCTTGCATATTTGTCCACCCCATACACCAAATCTCAACATACTTTTTATCTTAGCATTAGCCTAGCCAAGCTATCACTGCCATCAGTGTAAAAGGCCCTGTTTTAAACTAACAGGCCTGTGCCAATAAAAGAGCCCAAGGTGTTTGGATCATAGCAGCCGAAATTTTAACGTTTGTTTGCTCAGTTTGATAGATACTGCGCCGTGTGTTCTCCTTTCTACTACAAGCACTCGCGCTCCCTAGTCATTGGTGTCTGTTCGTGCTGGTTCCACTCTGGTGTTCTGGTTCAGCTTGTGGCGAATTTGATACCAGTAGCTAACAAGCTATATGCCTTTAGCATTGCCACTTTACAAATTGTCGTGTTGACAAATGTGGTGATGACGATCAAACTGTTCTTCGTTTGCAAACATCATTGCACGAGATAGATAGATAGATAGATAGATAGATAGATAGATCTTTTCCACTTATAAATCGCTTAGGTGTCTGCTAAATTTGTTGTGACTGTAAGTGTAAAGTGCAGTTTTGAACCTCCATTATAATTTGATAGAATATATTTTCTGCTGCATTTATTGCTGAATAAACAATCAACCTCCATTATTTCTACCTGAAATTACCTAATAATATAGTCAGGTTAATTCTACTGAATAGCCTACATTTGTTTTCTACATTATGTTTTATGTTTGTACTGTTTTTAGTGTATATATGGAACTATGGTATCACCATAGGATAAATATGGTATCAACAGTCCCAATCACCTTACAACAATCACATTATGTCACAAATTGATCAAAAACAAGAAAATGACCGAACTTCACGTAGCCCTGCAGTACCTTCAGTTGTATGTGTAGCGATTTCTTTTGCAGCCACTTGGTGGTGATCAAGACAATGAAACTGCAAATCCATATAGCTGGTGTGACGAACGGAGGGTGTGCATGTCTAAAAGCCAGTACAGCTTTACATAATAATAAATATGAAAACAAAGAGAGATGGTACTGCTGATTATTATTTAGGATGTATGAGGTGCTATAACATAGGAACCTAATAATTAGCAAAAATAAAATTCAACTTGCATTTAAAAAAAAAGTACCACAATAAATCTAAGAGTTCCAACCACTTTTCAATTTTTATAAATTAAATATAATATAAAAGACTAGCAATAATAAAGAAAAAGCATTCAAATATTTTGTCAATCAAGTGTGTGTTAACTAAAAGCCAAAGATTGTATATAAGTTGGGATAAACTCTGCACCTAGGCTATTGGTAAGAGAATAAAGACCACATAAGAGCCATTATTCGGTTTTATTTCTGATTATATTTTGTTCCCATGTACAATAAAACCAGTATTAGTTTCTATGTGAAGCTGAATTCACATTTCACGTCTGAGTGAACTGTGGAGCTGTGACATCTCAAAGAGAGCATCCTTTACACTTTACTGAGTCTTCTAAATGCACAGCTGCCTACTCAAAAGAATGAGGTACAGCGTAATATCTCACAGACAGTGTCTTCATATAAGAGTGAATATGAATATAATTCCATGTACAGTTTGACAAGAGTTCTGTAAGGAAGCTGTCTAAAGAACAACAATTGAACTCAAAATATTTAAATCTGGAATCAGCCTTGAATATGAAGTTTTCCATAATAATTTATTTAAATAAACATAGCTTGTAATAATCTAATAACTAAGACTCAGATATAATGTTTACTATATATTTTATAAAAATATGTTTATTCAGTTATTAAACTGGTTCATGAAGTGTAAATGGACTACAGAACATGAGAGATGTTTGTTTAAATCATGGCATTCCTGTTGCAAGAACTCCTCTGTAAAGGATGACCTAGCAGGAGCTCCTTCTCTTGAACAAGACTGTCTAGCAGCTCCTGCTGCCGATGGTTATGGTAAACCTTCAGGAAGGCTAGTACTGTTAGACCCAACCAGCATAAACTGGCCGACCACAAGCCAAACTGTGAGGGGAAAAAATGTTACATATATTAATACCACATATTATAGAGATTATGTGCAAGAGACCCATGAAATACATACTGGAAAATCTCTGCTTGTGAATGTAGGTTTTATGGATGAATGTTTACCTGTGCAATGGCAAACTGGTCATAAAAGGAGTTGTTGTCAACACCAAGCTCTAAATCTGTGTCTTGCAGATCCTCACAACTGCCAAATGAAATTAACCAAATTTAAAGCAACCGTAAACTTTTTACCTTGAAATATCAGTTTCAAAATCATTGTGATGGTACGCAGACTTCTAATAAGATGAATTGCTTGTTTTTTCCCACACAATCCCCCCAAACCTCTGTTCTGGGGGAGTATGTCGCTGCATTTCAAATGGGATAAATCCAAGGGCACTTCGTAGCGAGTGCAATCATGACCACAATACTGAAGGTCAAAAGAGTACAACTGATGGACACTTTGCTAGGGTGCTCCACAGTCTCAAAATTAAAAAAAAAAAACTACAGTTGCCTTAAAACCCGAGTAATTTGAAAGTGACTATATTTTGGAAATTTACAATGGCGGAGAAAAAATATGAGAGCCAATTAGAATTTTGTAACTAATTACATTAATTACTTTTATTAACGTTTGTATAACTATAACTATAAGTAATTTAAAAAAAAAGTATAAAAAGCAATATCACGCTTGCTCTTTGTAGTAGGCTACTAAATATCAGCATGACTCTTATTCAGCCCTAGGTATGAGATACAGTGCAGCACTCTTTTGTGATATTGCTTGACTCTAACTGATTTCAAATGGTTTAAAACAGTTTACCTGCTGGGCATGACCCCATTTTCAGTGACAGAATCACACCATGCACTGAAGCCAACACTGGAGATGGTACCGGCAACAAATACCACCAACAGGCACAAGAGCAGATTCAAGAAGGCATGGAAAAGAGAGCTGCCAAAACATGTATGATAACATCATTTACTGACTGAAACGTTGGGATGTTTTTATGCAATGTGGTGTAAGTGAATGAGGGGATGCCTACTCGTCCTGGCCTTTGCAGAGGAAAAAAGATCCGCCATGCCTGTACAGCAGACAGAATGACAGACACGATGCCCACGACAGTGATGAAGCGGCAGGATGACTCTGGTCCCCATTCTTCAACTATAAAGCGCTGTTTCCCCATCGTCATGTTCTCATTCTGCCACATTCCCTCAGTAAACAGCAGGCATTTCCCCTGGAAGTCATCGCTGTTTTCAGAGAGCGGCACGACGGCGATGAAACCGAAAAGAAATGCTAAAAAATAAAGGATGCACTGGCCAAAGAGACAATTATCGACGGCCATCGTTCCGGCGACTGTTTACGCAACGATGCAGCAGTTTAATCGTAGAGCTGTTATTGATAGAAATTTAGATATGAAAGAGTAAATACAACAAAATGCAAAAAATTCCTTTCTGGAAGGAAGAACTATAAAATATTCCATGTTCAGTTAAGTATACTGGACGTCTTATTGAACATGTTTTTTACATGAATGTTTAAAAAAATCTGACATTTTTTTTAATTTTTCACATTTCATAGACATTCAGGTTTTAAAAAATGTTGTCAAAGAGATTATAACCCAGTCAACAATTTGATCTCACAATGATGTCACCATGAGCTCACATGATTCTCATGGTGTGGTCACAATGTGTGTGTCACAGTGAGCTAAAAGTGTAACCACACAGCGCACTCACTGTGCGCTCATACTGTGGGTCACAATGTGAGGTCACTGCACACTCACTGTGTGCTCATACTGTGGTCACAATGTGAGGTCACTGCACACTCACTGTGTGCTCATACTGTGGTCACAATGTGAGGTCACTGCACACTCACTGTGTGCTCATACTGTGGTCACAATGTGAGGTCACTGCACACTCACTGTGTGCTCATACTGTGGTCACAATGTGAGGTCACTGCACACTCACTGTGCGCTCATACTGTGGTCACAATGTGAGGTCACTGCACACTCACTGTGCGCTCATACTGTGGTCACAATGTGAGGTCACTGCACACTCACTGTGCGCTCATACTGTGGTCACAATGTGAGGTCACTGCACACTCACTGTGCGCTCATACTGTGGTCACAATGTGAGGTCACTGCACACTCACTGTGCGCTCATACTGTGGTCACAATGTGAGGTCACTGCACACTCATACTCACACCGTGAGGATCACAGTATGAGGATCGTGTGATGTCACTGTGATCATCGCATGATCTCACGTGTTGACTGGGAAGCGTCATTCTCGCGTTCTGCGATTTCATTTGATCTCAGAACAAATCGGCCCAGTGACTTCTAAATAACCATTGCTGTACATGCCAAAAAACTCAAAACAAAATCGTCCAGTATAGGATACTGACAAATTCCAATGTGAACTTATAGAGTAAAGGCTTCTCCCTAATATCTAATCATCTTAGAGAGTTTGTCCTTAAACTAACCCATGTATGTACATGTTTTGAGTCGATGGGGTTTATTTCACAGATAATAAATACATATTATATTATTTATTATTGAAAGCATGTGGGTGTGGAAGCACTGATGTTATTCGCTTGGGATTGGCCCAGATGGTTGGGAAGGGTTCTGTTAAATCCTAAGGATAAATGGATTAGGTGGAGGTCAGTGAGAATTCACTCTAAACACACTCCTCACCTCTTCTGTGGTCCCTTACTTGAAATATGCAAAAAAAGGAAATAACGGCATCTACAATCAAGGTCCATGGATAACAAGCCCATATGTGACTGTGTGAGATCTGGGCAGGTAGGTTATGTGGTTTTAAGGGGGTGGGGGTTGTGGGAATACAACTGAGAATGGCATTAAAGTAGTGCCTATAGTGGCTAGAATAACAGCTAATGTTTTGCTATTTATAATGTTTTTTGAGTGTGTACATGGAATACATACTTGACAAGTTAACAATGCCCTGATTGATTACATTCTAAATTCATACTCATATTAAATATGCATTAAAACAATATATAACTTAATAAAACTATGAACCATAAGTAAGATATATGCATTATAATTGATAAAATACTTAACATTTCTGCAACTTAATGAACTAAGATAAGCTTCCACATTAAACTCAGAAATAATACTTAAGTATTAGTATATAGTAAATATACAAATATATTTAATATATATTAAATAGCCATTTACATACATTGTAAACTGTCCGTGCATTTATTTTATTACATTATCATCTTGATTTCAGTATCTGTGCTATTATGAAGCTAAGGCCGTCATTCAGGAGCGTAAAAATACCTAACCTAAGCTGCTTATGTGGCCCTCTTGGCCTTCTCTCCCAGTTCACTTCCCTCCTCCCCATGGAACATGTTGCCTGTCTTCTCTCATTTACCCAGTATGTTGTATCGCCCTAAAATAAAATGAGCTTTACACCTGGACGTAAACATTTACCACTGAGACGGTAAAAGCAACGCTCCCCATCGAAAATGGCAGTCTTAAAAGTGACATTTACGAAGACAAACAGAGACAAACTGGCCCAGGTTTTATGGGTGCTGAACTGGGTGTCTGTGGTAACTGGAGTCACGCTCTTCAGCATGGGCCTGTTCTTAAAGGTGGAAATCGAGAAGAGACGGGAGCTGATGTCAAAAGATATCGTGTCAGTGCCAAACATGCTTATCTGTGTTGGCTTGACTGCCTGTGCTATCAACTTCCTGGGGGGCAAGATCTGCTATGACTGCGTGGACACTACCAAGTTCCTGCGATGGAAGCTGCTGATGCTGCCTTACAGCATATGTACCTTTTTCTTTACCTTTTGCATCCTCGTGGGCGCCCTGATGTGCTATAGCATGCGTAACGATCTGGAGGAGTCGCTGTTTTTGGGCTTGCGTGATGCCATGCGCTACTATAAGGACACGGACATGCCAAGCCGCTGCTACATAAAGCACACAATGGACATGCTGCAGATGCAGTTTCAATGCTGCGGCAACGGAGGCTATCGAGACTGGTTTCACATTCAGTGGATTAGTTACCACTACCTGGATATGACCAATAGCGAAGTGGTGGAGTAAGTCAATATCTACCCACAATGCAATTTAATGTTACGTGGTTCACCCATCAATGAAAACTGTGTCATCATTTACTCACCTCATGTCGTTCCAAACCTGCATGATGGCTTCTGTGGAACACAAAAGAAGATATTTTGAAGAATGTTTCAGTTGATTTTGTCTATACAATGAAAGTCAGCAGGGTCCATCATAGCACCCAACCCCACTGACTTTCAATTGAGACATTTTTTAATTTGTTCCACTGAAGAAAGAAAGTCATACAAGTTTAGAACAACATGAGGGTGTGTAAATGATGACAAAGTATTTATTTTGGGTGGACTATACCTCGAATATAGGTATATTATTAATATCGCAGAAAGTTATTTAATGCATTCTTCTCTTCTTCAGGCGACTGCGGAGTAACGTGGAGGGAAAGTATCTGATTGACGGAGTGCCGTTCAGCTGCTGTGGCCTGCATTCTCCTCGGCCCTGCATTCAGCATCAAATCACTAACAACTCAGCACACTATAATTACAACTACCAGAAGGAGGAGCTGAACCTGAACCGGAGGGGCTGCAGACAGGCCCTGCTGGAGCACTACACACAGATAATGCAGTCCATTGGCTTAATTGTTCTCATCATTTGGCTTTTTGAGGTGTGATATTGACATTGTTTTCTATGTTAATATATTTTAAAATGTAATTTATTCCTGTGATGGCAAGGCTGAATTTTCAGCATCATTACTCCAGTCTTCAGTGTCATATGATCCTTCAGAAATAATTCTAATATGCTGATTTCTTATTATTATCAATGTTGAAAACAGTTGTGCAGCTTAATATTTTTGTGTAAATGGTTACACTACCATTCAAAAGTTTTTCTTTTTTTTAATTAATACTTTTATTCAGCAAGGATGCAATAAATAGATCAAAAGTGACTTTTATAATGTTACAATAGAGTACAATGCTGTTGTTCTGAACTTCCTATTCAAAGAATCCTGAAAAAAAACTACATCATAATTTTCACAAAAATATTAAGCAGCCAAAAATTTCAACATTGATAATAATAAGAACTATTATTAATAAATTAACACTAATAATAATTGAGCACCAAATGAACATATTAGAATGATTTCTGAAGGAAATGACCATAAATGTCTTTACTGTATTGAGATGACTAGGAAAAACATCCCAATTAACCTGAATTCACCCTATGTATTTTTTATTTATTTTCTTTTTTCTTTTCTTTATTCCTATTATAATTATTTTTTCAGTATGGGTTAGTTTCACAGTTCAAATCAAATGCAAGGGTTTGCAGACATCTACTGATAAACAGATGCAATTTCAATTGGCTTAATTTTCTTAAAAAATGTAAAGTGAAAAAAAGTGTGACGTGACATGTAGCCAAGTATGGTGTCCTATACTCGGAATTTGTGCTCTGCATTTAACCCATCCAAGTGCACACACACAGCAGTGAGTAGTGAACAAACGCACACACACACACCGTGAACACACACCCGGAGCAGTGGGCAGCCATGTGCTGCAGCGCCCGGGGAGCAGTTGGGGGTTCGGTGCCTTGCTCAAGGGTCTTCTCACCTCAGTCATGATACTGAGGGTGAAAGAGAGCACTGGTTATTCCCTCCCCCCACCTACAATCCCTGCTGGTACCCGCAAACTTTGGGTTACAAGTCCGACTCTCTAACCATTAGGCCACGACTGCCCCCAAAAAATTGTCTGTCGGGTGAGATTTGAACCTGCAACCTCTCATTCTTAAAGCAAGAAACACCTGTAGCTTCCTCATTTTCTTCAATCTTTGTTCCTTCCTCTAGGTGTCAGTGCTGACAGGAGTGCGATATCTTCAGACAGCCATGGAGAATGTGCTGAGGTTAGGAGACGCTGACTCTGAGTCTGACGGCTGGCTTCTGGAGAACAGCATTGCAGACACTGCACGTTATAACTTCAACATCATCAAGAACCTGGGCAAGTGCTACCAGGTGGATGACGATCCCAACATAGACGTGCCAAGCACCAGCCAGCAAGCACAAGAGAATGTGCCTGTAAAGCAAATCCCTGTCGCCCGGTAGCACAAGAGACATTGGACACTGAGACTTACCCAGACATTCAACAATGGCAGCCTTGGAGAGGCAGATCAAACTCTGCATTGCCGCCTTTGACTCTTTACTTGATGCACACAAAGAGGAATGAAAGTGAAGAATGAACTGAAACAATAAAACATAATGTGAAGGAGCTCTCAGCTGAAAGGCACTTCATTGTAAGGTCATCCTTGTGCCTTACAAAAAAGAGAATGAAATGTGAAATGCATTTTAAAATGCTGGGGAACAGGACTGATTTGTAACACTGGTTAACATTGCTGTAGAGAAAGATGGTAATGGAAGACAAGCTTCCCTGTGCCTCTACCCTGTAATGAAGATTATTTTGTCCATCCTAATAATATCCTAATGATAAACATATTTCAAGTTAATCTGAAAAGGGTTCAATTATAGGCCTTTGCTCCATTACTAAAAAGCTTTTACCATCCATAAAGTATAAAATGCCTTTTTCTCTTTCACTCACTTGCTTTACTTTACTGTATTAATGTTTTCTACTAGTAAACCATTCACATATTGCAGTATCAAAGGATGAATTTGGCCTGGGCCAATAGGCCTAAAATTATTATTTATTTATTTTTGGTTCCAGACAACTTATCAATACTAACAGTGGCTTCTGAATGCACCATTGCAGCACTACTGTCTTATATAAGCCTAGATTGTTTTGCAATGTTATTAAACCCATTGTGTGATTATTCTTTTAATTATGACTTTATTTCTCACAATTGCTGTTTATATGTATATATGGTGACAATTCAAAGAAAAAAAAGAAGTTTTTATCAGGCATTTCTCATATGCAAAAACAAAGTCAAACATCTAAGAAATTAAAGGCGTAAGAGCATTTTGACAAAATCTTAATTATAAGAAATAAATGTAAAATTCAGAGATTTTATTTGTATTTTAATTCAGCTTGCTTGATTGTTTACTCCGCACAAGAGAGGGCCTCCAAAAAGGCTAGTCACCACCAGGGGCCTTGTATTGTCTTCAACATGTATGCTTTGCCATCAGATGATATTTTTTCTGCTGTATTTATCAGCATGTATTAAAACATATAATTTTACATTACATTTCAGAGGTAAAAAAAATAATACAAAAATTGTGACAATGATTCAAATCTACAACATTTCAAGTTTGCTCGTTATGTTTGGTAAGCCCTTCAGGACAAGCCAAAGGATGCTAAACTTTCGGGCACAAGTACTGCTCCAAACCAAATCCCCTGAACTAAAGAGATTGCTGCACTAACAGCTTTTTTTCCACCTTGGATTAAAAACAGTTTGACTACTCAATCAACCGGTAGCCTTCTGCTAAAGTAGTATGTACTGACGACGTTGTCACGTGGTATCCTGGAACATGTTACTGTCCTCAGCGCTGAAAATGGAAAAACAGGATTGACCAATCACAGTCATTTGTGATTACATCATCTACAGCTTTTAATGTTCATTACATTTTTCACATTTATTTCTCTGTTTGGACCATTGTCGCGTTTGTTATATATGTCCTTCCAGTCATCAGATATGATATATCTGCATATAGTTTTAATTAAATTGTCAAACATACAAAACTAGTAAGAAAATCATTTGGTATTCTCGTGTACACCATATTAGCAACTTTATAAGGATACTCACAATTAATCATATTAATTGTATACTGGAACATGTTCGTTAATATCACTATATAAAATGTTATTGTTATTATATTATTATTATTTTACTTTTCGCAAACACTCCGTTGTCAAAAAATAACACAAAGCAAAAATAAATATTACGGAAATAAAGTATACAAAATAGCAGTACAAGCATCGATGTTTGTTTATATACCAAATGTGCGATTAGGACATGCGTAAACTGCGTACTTCATCAAGAATGAGCAAAGGGCGGATGTTGCGAGATATCTCCGTATAAACGGTGTTATTGATGGCGACATCATGTGTGTTAGTTTAGTCGATTTAATTACAATGTTTGCAGTGAATGGGTTTGAAACATTCCTGTCTGTAGTCGTTTAACAAGGATATTAGACACTGACGTCGAAACAGAAATTTGTAAGTAGTTTGGCCTACACCATATTTTTCTATATTTCTACTTAAATCTCTGTGCATCATTTCTGTAGAATCTAAAGCACGTGATTTTGTAATTTTGAACACTGTATTTATTTTTTTTAAACATTTATGTTTGATAACAGTGCCCCGGTGTGTTAGCGCAGTGCGAAAGAAACCTTACTGTCAACACACTGCATGACTGTGCACGAGCTTTATTGCAGATATTCACATACTTTTTAAAATCCCAATTCAAACGACGCTGTTTTGTTTAGCTGTTATTTCTGGCTGTGATGAGAATAACAGACTGCTTACTCTTCTACAGTCATTACATAACGTTCTGTATTGTTAGTAAGCTACAGCTGCCATTTGGTTTTGAAAACTATAAAAATATCTTGCGAATTGTTCTATTGTATATCTTGAATAGTTGCAAATCCTGTTACTTGGTTAGAGCTATGACCTGTCAAACGTTCAAAGATTAGAATTATGCTTATTCATCAGCTCCTTATCAAAATAATGACAGTGAGTTGTGTGTTTTCCATTGTGGGATCTCATATACTACATATAATTATGAATTGGTCCTTATAAAGCCCAATGTATCACTTTCAATAGGCTACATACATTTCTAAGGCATTCAAATGATCAGCATGTTAAACTTTGATGAAAAAAAGTGAACAATATTCCTTCTACACACCGATTGATAGTTACCAGTTTTAAGCAACTAAAAGGCCTTTTATTAGAATTATTTTAGTCCACCTTCAGGTCATGGTACATGCGTCTTTAAACTCTTAATGATTTTTGTAAAGTAAACGTAAGAATAACTTTCATATTGTTAATAATATTTTAAGATGAGCATTTACTGAACTGGAGCAACTTAGGTTTATTTCATTATCCATACCATTATCCATCCTTTATTTTTATTTTATTTTTTAAATCATGTCAAAATGTTAGTGTCACATATAATAGATCAGGCTTTTGAGGAACGTTTGTAAATCTCTCAATCATTGTATTGCATTGCATATTTTTGTCCCCAAAATAATAATAGACATTTATATGCAGTTTATGTAAGCAGTCAGCATAAGTTTACAGTTATAAAAATCTAATTGAGTTACAAGCTTATCAGAATTTGACCTTCCTTTTATGCCATATAAATAACATCTGCACTAAACTGCAAATGTTTTGCAATAAAATTAGTCAAATTGATGTTTTTGTTCTCGAGTGTGAGCTCCATATTCTCACTATATCATGAGCCATAAAAGCCTGTATTAAAAAATGATACAATATATAAAACACATAAGCAAAGTTTTTATTTTATGTGGTTTTATATTTTGTCTAAAGGTTAAATAAATTGTTACATTTCAGCAATTAGATTTTTCTGCATACAGTTATAAAAATCTAATTGAGTTACAAGCTTATCAGAATTTGACCTTCCTTTTATGCCATATAAATAACATCTGCACTAAACTGCAAATGTTTTGCAATAAAATTAGTCAAATTGATGTTTTTGTTCTCGAGTGTGAGCTCCATATTCTCACTATATCATGAGCCATAAAAGCCTGTATTAAAAAATGATACAATATATAAAACACATAAGCAAAGTTTTTATGTGGTTTTATATTTTGTCTAAAGGTTAAATAAATTGTTACATTTCAGCAATTAGATTTTTCTGCCTAGTATTTCATATGTCAGGCTTTACATGGTTAATTATATGAGATAATGTAGCTATTATTGTTACATGATGAATAAAATAATATGCCTGTAAATGTTTTTCACCAGAGCATCATGAAGATGGGCATCTTCTCCCTCTTGGTCAGAGCAACTCTCCTTGCTGTGTCCGTTCTTGGGCAAACCCCAGATGTTGATGAGCTTGCTGATAGGAATGCCGACTTTGCTACCCAGCTGTACAGCAAGATAGCTAGCTCAAATGATGACAATGTAGCCGTTTCGACCCTTGGAGCTACCTTGGCCTTAGCCACATTAGCAGCCGGGGCTGGTGGGGCTACTCGCACCGAGCTGCTAGAGGGTATAGGTGTGGCCTCCATGGAGAAAGATGGAGAGCCAGAACGGATTCAGACCCTACTCAAGCAGCTGAGGGAGACCACTGCTCAAATCCAGGCCACTGGCCTCTTCATGAAGCAAGACGTCAAGGCAGATGACAGCTTCGGCAACCAGGTTAAGCAGTTTTATAATGCAGATGTTCAAAATGTGAATTATGCCAATGGACAGCAGGCCAAAGGGAGTATCGATGATTACGTAAGAGGCCGAACAGGGGACAAGGTCAAAGATGTGGTGGAGAACGTAGATCCACAAAGCATGGCGATGTTAATCAGTGCAGCTTTCTTCACAGGTGAGGAGAAAACAAGTGAATAATGTCATAATTAATATTTTATCTTAATATTTCAAGTAGTAGTTGCTATTATTCTTCTATATTAGCATGTTTTGTTTTCTAATATATGCTAATATCAGATATGTAAGGGATAATGTACATTATCCTGCTTGTTGCATGGCTGTTTACCGAATATATGAATATAAAGATATGAAATATTGATCGGAGTTCAAATTTTACCTGACTGCTAAGAAAAACAGTCCATTACCATGTACAAAACCAACAAGATGAACAGCTGACCACTGAATGCCACGATTGACCAATCAGAATGAGGTATTCCAGAGAGGCAGATAAGAAATTTCAAAAACGTGAATGTGAAAAGGTAATCTTAATCTTGATCAAGAGATCTTTAACAGGTCAGTGGCTGCAACCCTTCAATGTTACCTTCACCCAAGAGGAGCGTTTCTATGTGAACAAGTATAAGATTGTACAAGTGCCCATGATGCTCCGTACGGGCAAATACTACCTGGCCTATGACCCCACGTTAAAGGTTGGCATTTTGAAACTGCCCTGTGAGGAGGGCATTGCCATGCTTGTCCTTCTTCCAGATGAAGATGTGGACTACACCTACATTGATGAATCCATGACTGGTGAAGTGTTTCGCCGATGGGTTTCAAAGCTGAAAAAGACGTGAGTCACGTAATCAGTCTCTCACATTTTCACAAATCAATGTGTTTTTTTAAATGACTCAAAAAATCTCCATCAAACTCATGCTGAGCAGCCAAAGTGAGCAATCATATGACATACTTGAAACAGCTTATAGTTACCCTGCAATTTTCAAGACACATTTCTGTTGATCTCTAAAGATCAGTTTTATCTCTGTCCTCAGGAAGTTGGAGATTCAGTTGCCCAGATTTTCATTGAAACAGCCCAATTCACTAAGTATGAGTCTGCCCAGCCTGGGCATTAAAGAGATCTTCGGGAGTACTGCAGATCTCTCTGGAATCAGCAGCGATGAAGGCCTGACACTGTCAGAGGTGTGAAATCTTTCCAACAATACAAGGAAGATTTTCATGTCAATGCATTTCTCATGTCTACCAGTTACATGAACCATGATTTTAACTAGTATTGACATAACATTGATGTGTTTGTGTGTATATATACTATACGTTACTGTTCAAAAATGGGAGGTTAAGTTTTTTTTTAAATATTTTTGAAGGAAGCCCCTTATGCTCACCAAGGCTGCATTAATTTGTTCAGTAAAAACAGTAATATTGCTAAATACATTT